GGATTCTCCAGGTTACCCCACTCAGCCACAGCAAGGCTGGGGAGAGGGTTCTCCAGGTTACCCCACTCAGCCACAGCAAGGCTGGGGAGAGGGTTCTCCAGGTTACCCCACTCAGCCACAGCAAGGCTTCTTCAAGGCGTTGGCTTGCAGGAGCAGTGGGCAGTTGTTCTGGCAGATCCAGGCCAGCGGGAGCAGAACAATTGAGTTCATGCGTGGTTCCTGGGGCTCCTCTGTTTTGATTCTTAAGGTAGTGACCCCACATTTTAGGAAAGTCTGGACTTGCATCCCTGCCCTCTCCCCTCACCCATTGGGGGCCAACCCCCAACTCCTTCAGTGCCAAAGGGAAAATCAACTCCATCTCCAAGCTGCTAGTGCCCCTCTGCCATGTCTGGGCAAAGGCAGCAAGCAAGAAGCTGCCAGTTGGGGTGGAGTGGGGGCTGGAGTAAAGACTTTACCTCCTGCCAAATCCTCAATAGGGGTGGGCTGCTGGAATTTGGGGGAGAAGGAAAAAAGGAAAGTGAATCAGGAGAGCCCCCCAGGGTTTCTGTGAATCAGGGTGGGGCAGGACAGGTGCTGTCTTCTGGTTTCCAGCTGAGGAATGGTGACGCTCTGGCTCTCTCCTTACTTTTGGTGACGCTCAGAAGCTGGTCAGGGCCCTTCCAACCCCAGTACTCTGGGAGTGTGAGTGGGGGCAGAGTGGAGGCTGGAGGAGAAGCCAGACTCCTCCCCCAGCTCCAGAGCATCCTCTTGTCCTGTGGGATCCTGTAAGGGTGTTTTTCTCAGCTGCTTTTGTGGTGCTCCGTCTTGTAACAGAGGAAGATGAACTCCTTCAACATTGCCTTCAAGAACTTCAGTTTGGCGTCGCTTATTACATGCCATCACTAGCCCTAGTGGTGGGAACAGCTTTTAGGGTTCCCAGAAATTGATAGGAGAACCTAAGGAGGGTTCACTGGGTACCAACTACACAGCTCCCAGCAGCAGCAGGCAGTGTGAAGAGTAAGGCTAGGGTAGGCTACCTGAGTTCACTGGCCAGGGTACAGTCTGGTTTGACCCCCTCTACCCTCCTCTCTCCTGGATGTTAAGAGTAATCAGTGGGTCAATGATTGATTGAGATGCTAGTCTGCCCTCTTCTGACCTTCCAGACAGCAGGCCACAGGTGGGTGTCAGACCCAAGAAGTATGGTGAGTGAGGGGCAGAGTTGGCAACAGGTGATGACCAGGCTGCTCACCAAGGGTTAAAAATGACTGGGTGTTGGCTCAGGGACTGGCTATAATCCCACCCCTCCTTTCCTCTCACTTCCTTTCCTCCTTTGTCCTGTATCTGTCATTGGAGAGAGCTCTCCAGGTAAGGCTGCTAGCTTTGAAGGGATCCTGGCCCAAGAAGGTTCCATTTCTTGAACTAGAGAAACCTCTAATCTGGTCTCCTCTTGACAGGTGATCAAAGGAGGGCTTAGACAGGCCCATAAGCCCGCAGAGGGTGTGGAGACATTTTCTCATTCATTTGTCACCAGACATTTCCTGAGGGCCTCCTCTGCTCTGTGTCAGTTGCTAGGGAAAAGGAAAGGAGCTTTAAGGGGCCTTGGGGTGGAAGGATAGAGGCTGACCTGTGTGGGTGGGAAAGGCAGGAGTCACCAAGTGGCTCCTCAGCCTGGGGCCAGGCAGTAATTCTCCCTCTCCTCTTCCTCCCTTTCCTTTTTTTCTTTTTTCTTTCTTTCTTTCTTTCCTTCTTTTTTCTTCTTTCTTTCTTTCTTTATTTATTTTTTGTTGTTGTTTTTCAAGGCATGATTTCTCTCTGTAGCCCTTGCTGTTCTAGTACTCACTCTCACTCTGTAAACCAGGTTGGCCTCACCTGCCTCTGTCTCCCCAGTGCTGGGGTTAAAGGCATGCGCCACTACCACCACCCTGCTTTGTTTTGTTTTTTAAGACAGGTTTCTCTATGTAGCCCTGGCTATCTCTGGAATACAAAGATCTAGATTCATCTGTCTCTTCTTCCCCAGTGATAATTTTTTTTTCTTGGGGGTTATTTGGCTTAAACAATATAACAGCTTGTTTTTGTTTCTGTTTTTTTGAGATAGGGTTTCTCTGTGTAGCTTTGAAGCCTGTCCTGGAACTCACATTGTAGACCAGGTTGGCCTCGAACTCACAGATATCCGCCAACCTCTGCCTCCCAAGTGCTGGAATTAAAGGAGTGTGCCACCACCACCTAATAGCTTTTTAAAACACTGACCTCTGGGGCTGAAGAGATGGCTCAGAGGTTAAGAGCACTGTCTACTCTTCCAGAGGTCCTGAGTTCAATTCCCAGCAACCACATGGTGGCTCACAGCCATCTGTAATGAGATCTGGTGCCCTCTTCTGGCCTGCAGAATGTTGTATATATAATAAATAAATAAATCTTTAACCACCCTGAAACATCAGTAGGTCTGGTCTCTTCAGGTCCAATTTTGTCCATTTCATCCTACCTTTGCAGGAACCCTATGGGACAGGAGCTGTCCTTTTGTTGTTCTTAGGGGCAGGTGATGAGCTGATAAAATCACTCCATCCTGCTGCAGTATACTGAGTGACAGAGCAGGCGTGGGAACCCAGCACTGACCTCAGGGACCATGTCCTTTTGACTGTACTGTGCCGGTACCAATCTAGGGGCTGCCTTGAGAGGAGGGATCCAAAGAGAGAAGAGACTGAGTTTGAAAGTAGGTTTTGTGTTGCAAACGTTTTTTGAGTCCCTTGGCTATGAGGCCCAT